TCATTTCTTCAAATAAACTTTACTTCTGCAGTAGTATAAAAATCAATAAGGACTGAAAAACAATGATGCTGGAGAGGAAATGGACAAATAAACCTCTACCTGATGAAGCCCTTGCTCTCTGACCTCATTTGGAACCCAACTAGAATTTTGGAAATATATCATTTAAGTTTTTGTCTTCTCTGAATAGTGTCCCCATGAGTATTGTACACTGTAATTATTATTGATAAAATACAAGCTTCGACATGGGGTAGAGAAATCTGCATCTACATGGAAACCAAAGTTGAAAGTCTAAGTTTTAGATTCATATTGGTGTAAAATCATTTTGAACTTAGGTAACACAGAGCTTCGTGATTTCCTGTTGACACAGCTTAAACATAAATCATCAGCAAACACATCTGAATCTCATTAAGTGCTCTTTGGGAAGAATAGGGGCTTCCCATTCTAGAACTTACAAAGTACTTTTCAGATGAACACTCAGTAATGCATAGCTATCTAATATACAGGAAATGTGAAGGTTAGAAAAACTAAGAAATTCATGTTAGATATTTGAATAGGAAGTGTCAGAGAAAACTTGAATTTAGGTCTTAATTTTAAGACTCACATGCTGCCATATATGACCGTAACTGCTTTTTTAAAATGAAGCAGAATTACTACTATATTTTTCCCATGATATTTTTGTTTTAGTCTAGTCAACTACCCAATTATGAATGAATTTACAGGGTAGGAAAAATGTGGATCCAATTTTGTATGCTATTATAATTGGGGACCCCCCACTCTCACTTATTCTTTTTTATGTAGTAGTCAAAAGCCACATAATATATACTTCTTAATATCCACGTATTCTACTTCTCTCATGTGTCATTACTAGTTGTTTGTACTTATAATTTTCCCCAACTGCCTTCTATTTGAATGTAGAGGCCAAAGAGAATACAAGAATAGCAAAGCCCCACGGTCCTGCTGCAGATCTAGATTCTAATGAAACCTAGGGAAAAAAGGAATGAGAGAAACCACATAGTTTCTGAATATTTCATTTCTTGTGGCTCGCTCCTCACTTGTCATGTCTGGAGCCCATTTTGTCTTCAGCTTCATGGCCTGGCGCTGCTTCTCATACCCGTCTAATCCACACTTTAGATACACTGTTTGAGTTTTCATCTTGGTAAATGTCAAAGAAAGAGAAGATATTTTGCGCACCTAGAGCATCCTAAAAACCCTTGCCAAAGCCATGAATCTGACTCTGCGTTATCCTTTCCCAGAAGGAGAACATAATTTCATTATCCATGAATCATCACCTCTTAGACTGTAACATCATTGTCAAAGAGCCTAATAGAACCAGTGTTCAGCTGGCTGAAAAGCTGGGGGAAGGGGGGAAGCATGGGCAAAGCACAGGTCACTGGGACAGTCAGGGACCAGAGGGGAGGGCCCTTGACAGCCCTGATACACCTACTCACCGGTGAACAGCTGCTGCTATTTCAATATTAGTTGAGAAATTTGTTTTCCCTCACTTAAATTACATTAGAGTTCAACAGTCTGCCTATGGAAAATGTTAATGCATTTAATGAAAATACTGTACCATTTTTGACAATATGGATGAGCATAAACACTTTAAAATATTTCTTATATATTTTTACTGCATTATTAATTGCTTTTCATCTTTGGACACATTTCTAGCCCTTGGTATCAGTTTTATGGCTTGTCGTCAGGCATTACTAAAGAAAAGTCTCAGAGGAAACTTAACTTTTAAAGTCTGTGTAGTAAGTATATTTCCAATATAAATGAGCTGAGTAAAATTAAAATCTTATGTATAGATAAGAAATGAGATATGTTGTCAACCACATTTACAAAAAGATCCAGTATAAAAAGCTAAAACAAGGATGAATAGCTGTACTTAGTCTAAATAGCCACTAGAGGTCACTGCTTCTCCACAGAAATACATTGACTAGTAGCATCTTTAGATGATTCACCGAATCAAGTAAAAAATGGTTTAAATTTTTTGCAAACATGGAATGTCAACATCGTCGGAAAATAATAACTCATTTAAAACGAATATGTCTTGCATAAGTACTACTTAGAAGACTAGTATTGGGGCTGTGCTGCAATCCATGTTGAGGCTCGGAAAATGGGGGTGGAGGGAAGGCAGTTCAAGGAGACCAAACTCCATTTCCTCTCTGTTTTCAAAAAGCATTCAGAGTTCTGTATGAATCCTTTCTGCATTGATGCACGCTATTGTACAGTTCAACAGGTCAGGCTGTTTAGTTAACTCTTGTCACCTTTGAAGGAAGTTAGATGCTTCCTGTAAATTTGCGCTAGAAAAGTGAGTCATCTCATTTTCTTTAATATGCAGCGGGTTTTAGGTACTTATAAAAACAGCAGTACAGTAGATGGTGCAGAAAGTACCCGGAGTCGGAAGTGAGGGCAACAACTTCTGGTCAGGAGAACACGGGCATTGGCTCCTTAGGATTTACAGTGGGGAAGCGGTGGTTGTCTGAAGTACAGGGGTCACATATTTATTCTCAGAAAACAGCGAGAACTACAGAAAAGCTATATTTCCCAGGATGGAAGGGGTGTGGAAAAGAACTTTTGCTTATAATTTTACGTGTTGAATCAGTTTTACTTTGGAAGGGATACTATTGTTTTCTTGCCTTAAATTTTTAAGTAAACCTAGGAATTAAAAAATGACCAGTTTTCAAAATATTGGCCATGCATTTAATCTTATGTCACATTTTATACACCTGGTAGCTTTGATTTAGAAGCACTTTTTAATAAAGCAAACATTATATATATATATATATATATATATATATATATATACTAGTAGCACCACAGCACTGATAATTTTGCAAGAATTCAAAAGTATGTTTTCCTTGCCCAAATATATTTAGTAACCATTATGAGGCAGAAGGTCAAGTCAAAGAATAAAAATGGGTTTTTTCACTTCCACACTGCATTTAATACAATCGTCTTTAGTACAAATAAAGATGAGGCTGACCAAAGAAAATCTGTTTTGTAGATGGAATGTGTGTTTACTGACACTTTATGAAAATGTAAAATTACAACTTCAGTGAAAAACATCACAGTGAGCTCAGTCATCCAGTTTATAATACTATATAACAAAGTACTTGCATTTATAATCCTTTGGGAATATATGCATTAATAAGTGTCTGGTCAGCAAGTTTTTGTGAAAAAACATATCTGTGATGCTTTTCTGAACAAGCATCTAAGACTCAATCAAAATCGAAGTACCTAGAAAATTTCATGTAAATCTTTTTCTTTTATTGCTTATAGAAGTGTAATTTTAATATCTAGCTTCCTTGCAACTGTATTTCATGGTGATTTGCCTAGAATTTTCCCCTCAGCCTATGAAAAACCTCCAAACTATATAAAAATGCTAGTAAAAATAGCCATTCACTTTTTCTTTTTGCTGCAGCAATTCTGTTTTGAAAGAACAAGGACATGGTTAAAGATGAGAGGCTCGGCAAATCAAATTAAATGCAGTAGATTCAATGTGGCAATTCTTAACGTTGCCCCCATAATAAAACTGTTCATTTTGGAGGATAAAAGAGGATACAGACTAAAGACATTTTTTGAAAATCTCAATAGACCATAGTTCATACTATTTAAATACAGAGACTATGATATTTGTTCTGCAGTCAATAAACTTTCACCAATGACACAAAAACATGCATGCAGCTTGCAGATTGCCAACAGGGTCTGTACAGAATTGTACTGATGGATGAGTTTACAATAGAGATGAACACAGGGACACAGTAATGTCAACAATAGCAAAGCAAAAGAGAACTATCATAGCATCATTCCTCTTCACCCAAGGATATGTGTTATAAATTTATTAAGGTGCTGTCATCTTTTTCAGTGAGGCTATTGGAAACCGCGTCTCGGAATGTTCTCTTTGCATGTCTGAATGGAGTGCCAGTCACTCGGGTACTGGTGTGTACTGGGCACATCATGGAACACTACAGGAGTGCCTTACAAATCCTAAACAGAACCACACAGAGCTAATGATTCCAGTAACTACATTGGGGTCTTTGCAAAAAAAAAAAAAAAAAAAAAAAAAAAGAAAACCTGGAAAGAAATTCTGGTAAGGTCCCAGCCACATGCATGTAGTAAGTCTTCTTTTCATTTAAAAATCTTATCTCTGAAACCTCCCCAATATGGGGAGCTGTGGAGATATCCTCGTATTTGCTTATTATTTGGCTAATTAATTAATTAATACATTTAGGAAATATACAGACTATAATAAATTGACAGTGAACCCTGGAGTGTGATTTCACAGGGGTGGGTTTCAGAGATAAGTCTTCCAGCCTAAAACTTTGTGCACTGACCACTTCCTCACATTTTGCAGTTGTCCATTTGCAGTTTTTTTTTAACCCTTCCACGATTTTCCCCTGTGCTAGCCTTAATATGATTCAGACACCTCTGGAAACTGCCCACAGGGCTGCTTTGGTCCAGCACCATCTTTTGATAGTTTCTTGCAGTCTTCTTTTTAAGTGATGCATTGTTTTAACCCACTCTGTCTCTATAATGTTCCTACCATCAAGTCATGTCCTAGCATCAGAGTTCTAGTACCTGGGATGATTTTATCCTTTTCTTTGATTTACAAATTAACTAGTAGGTTTGGTCCTATTGGAAGGAGAAGAACAATCAATGTGGGGGGTCACTTATGGAAGAAGTTTTATCTTAAAACAAATGTGATGTTAATAGACTCGATAAAGGGTCTTATACAATAGGCATTATGTTAAACCAGAGTTCACACTTCACGTTGAATGTGGCATTTAAATTTCAATGGGTTGATTATGTAAGGGAGGAAAATGACCAGTATTATGAATGCACTCAAACGGACAGGAAAGGACCTTGCCAGCACAGTGAGACTGAGAGGGAGAGGGGAGGAGAGGGGGCACCGTGTTCCCTTTATAGTCACCAGAGTTCAATAAAGCACCACTTATTTCCCAGCTTTTAAGAGCGCTTTTTATCACAACAGTTCATACCTCACACTCCCTGGAGCCTGATTTGTTATAGGTGCAGGGTCCGGTCCCGTTCAGCAGCATCTCGCTGGTCTCTGTGTTGGTGGGTTTATAATCTACATAAAATTCCTGGGTGCTGGGAGTCATTTGCTTTAGCGACTGCCTTTTCTTTTTCCTGTGCCTTCGCATGAGGGAGCGCTGCTGCAGCTGTTTCATGCTTGCTGGGTACCGCTTCCATGACACATAGATAACAAGCAGGATGACAAGCACGGACAGGAACAGGGCCACGCTCCCCGCGATGATTTTATGGAAAGAGATGTGCTCCGTGTCCACGTCAGTCTCTGGGCCAGGCTCTGTAGCTCCCACGGTGGGGGGCACAGGGGGCTTGCTCTCATGCTTGGGCCTGGGGAGCTTGGGTTTAAATGTTGGTTTGGGGAGAGCCCTGGCCAGATCAAATCTCTCCGTGGTACTTTTGCCACAGATGCTGTAGTTCTTCACTGCATCAATCACATTGACTCCTTGCAGCTCTTTAGGACTGGCACAGATAATTGTATTCTCCCTCAGACCTTTAAAACTTTTCAGCCAGTTTACCAGGGAACAAATATTTCTGCTGCATTCCCATATATTCCCGGCAAGACTGATGTCATTGAGGGATATCCAAGAATCCAAAATCTCTTGACCAATAAATGTGAGCTTGTTGGAATCCAGGTTGAGGCGCTGCAGATTCGGGACGCATTGAAAAACACTGGGTCCACTAAAAGCTTCAATCTCATTGCCTGACAGATCAAGCCTTTGTAATGAGCTCCAGGTCCAGGACATAGTCTGTCCTATGACACTAATTTTATTCCATTGCAAGTAAAGGTTCTGAAGGCTCACCAACCTTGGAAAAAGGGCCAGGTTGAGCTTAGAAAATTGATTGTGCTCCAGGTGAAGTTCTTTGAGTCTGATCATGCCAGCAAAGACATTCCTGGCTAAACTTCGGATCCTGTTATATCCTAGGTCCAAAAGTTCCAGGTTGCGGCAGTCTTGGAATATTCGCACAGGGATGGTTCTCAGAGAGTTGGACCTTAAATGTAAACTGAGCAGCTTTCTCAAGCCCCGAAATTGTTCAGATCCCAAAGAATGCAACTGATTATAGGACAGATCCAAGTTCCGTAAATTGGTCACAGGTCTGAAGGTATTGTTAAGAAAATAAGAGATTCTGTTGGAACTCAGAATCAATTCTTTGAGTCTGCGTATTCCATTAAAAGCATTCTCGTCAATATTGCTGATATGGTTATGGTCAAGGTATAGCCAGGTGAGCTGGTTGAGCCCTTTAAATTGATTATACTTAAGTTTTTGAAGACTATTATAGCGAAGGGATAAACCTAAGCAACCAGCAGATATACTTGAGGGTATCTCTTGTAATTTCTGGGATTCACAATAGACCATTTTGCCTTCACACCTACAGCCCTTAGGGCATCCTCGTTCAGCAGAAGAAAGCATTGTCAGGAAGACAGTGGGGGCTATAACCAGTGCTACAGCTGATCCGCTCAGTAGCCTAATTACATTGAAACCTGGAAATAAAAACAACTTAGAAAAGTTATCCCCCCAAAAAGAATGCGTTTTTTATCAAGCAAAAATAAGCATATATTTTCATTTTTAGAAATTTAAATACACATAACAACACTTAACATCAAATATGATCTCTTTGAAATTTAAGCAGGTTGTCTTTTCTTTTTTTTTTTTAATAGTTAAACAAGGAAACCTGTTTACTAAGCAATTGAATTTATAGTCTTAGGCAGAGCAAGGTAATCTCTAAAACAATTAAGGTAGAATTATTACATAGACTAAAAGATTTTTTTTTTAAGAAGAAAAGAAGAAAAATGACAAAACATACCCATCCTTTGTATTGTTCAAAGGTCGTCTTTAGGTCTTTTGCTTTGGCTTAGGGGCCACTTGCATGACAGCCCCTGTCAGCTGCACTGTAGTGAGTCAGGGCTCGCTGACACCCAGGAAGAAAAATTGGACCCCTTGGGAGATGGACCGATTTTGGAACATTATTCTTTACCAGCCACGCAGAACACTCCAAGAACAAATAAATCCCAACACCGCAATCACAGCAAAACATCAGAATCTTCCTAGGTAATAGGATCTTCATGGATATTACGGTTTTGCATCTTTACAGTTTTTTTTTTTTTTCTTTTTTCTGACGAAGGGGGTTAAAAAAAAAACCTGGTCTCTATAATTTCTTCTTATCAGAATGCATGATGTATTCCTTCAGGCAACATGGGGCTACCTGAGCTGCCACATCTGTATTCCATAGCCCATCAGTTCCCGCGGTGAGCACCCAGTTCAGCCACAGAGCTGCGTTGGAGCCCAGAAGGCAGCAGAGCCACTCACCGCGCACACGCTCAGCTCACTTCTGCAGACTGTCATTCTGAAAACTGCCGGGACTGTTGCTTTGGTTTCAGTGAATGCAGTCTTATGTAAAGCTGCCCCCAGTGGTGAAGAACATTATGGGCATGTGCAGAAATGTCTCTCTTTTATCTTGCAAATGAGCAGGCTCTCTGCTGGAAAATGAATGATTCTTTTGGGTGACTCAAAAGGAACTGAATGGTCACCGTAATCAATAAGTAGCAACATTTTCTGTGAGTTTCAGGTCTTGTTTTACAATCTGGCAACGTCTATATTGTCTGCGTCCACTTAATTGCTAAACATGTGCTGCCCGGGGTTTTTCTAAAGCTTGACATTAAGTTCATACGCTGAATGTCAATTTTTCTTAACCTCGATGTAAACTTTCAACTGAAATTTATAAAATGAACCATCGGGCTTTTTGCAGAGTCGTGCTGACTGCATGCTCCTTTGCCCTCTTGGAGTCACGGTAATTATATAATGCAAGGTGTCTCAGAACGCTGAAACACGACTGCCTTTGGACTGATAACATGTGAACTAGTACGTCCAATAGCCTTTTTGGTCTTCTCACAGGATATATAATTGGTTTAGTAGTTTATTGTTTGGGTTGCTTTTTGTTTTATTAGAAGGGAAATAAACCATTTTTAGTGCTTGTATAAGAGTCAAGAGATCATTCAGTTCATAGTTTATTGATGCAACTGCTATTTATTACACTGTAATATTTATTGAGTACTTTCTAAGTGCTTTGAGTGGCCTATTTTGTTTTATTTTTAGGCAATGTTATGATGGAGGTCCTATTGTAATTTCTTTTTGAAAGTTGAAAAAGGAATTTGAAGAAGTCATTTGTTTAATGCCGTATTGCAAGATAGTAGCAGATACAGGATTCAAAGAGGGCTTTATTTTTGACCTATTAACCAGATAATCCTGGTCAACAACACTGCTATCTTTATTTTAAAAAATGAATCAAGCGAAAATTAGAGTAAGGGACTGAGGTTGTAATCAACTATTTCTTGTTTCCTAGAAAGAACAGTACAAATGTCTTTGGTGTAAGGCTCCTAAAGAAATACAAAAGCTAAGGAGAAACAGGTTGGTCTTTTGATTAAAAACACAGATTTTGGTGCTAAGATGCTAATTTTGGCTATAATTTACCAGCAATGTAACCTTAAACAAGTTGTTTATCCTCTCTATGATCAACTTTCTCATCTGCAAAATGGGCAGAGACATGTTTGGAGAATTAAGTCATTATAATATCTATGCTTAAAATATTGTGTAGAATATAAGACTGTGTTAGCTATTTGAAAAATATCAATCTTATGACATTTCCTTCTATTGCATGTTGTTTACTCTTGAATATTAACTACACTGACAGTTATTTACTCTCAAAACCTATTTTGGTTAATATTGTTTACACTGTACATAATGGATTTCTGAGTTACATTCACTAAGTCTTGTCTTTTTGAGAAAATTTCTTAAGGTATATCTCCATCATCTTACAATTATCTTTAAAATGAATCATTTTATTCTATAGAGCATAAGAAATAATTAACATTTATACCTTTTCTACTGTAAAACAGCACATGGTAATATCTATCTGATAGAGATAGGCATTGGGACAAATAAATGCCATTGTTTAAAAAATCTACTTTTTTATATTAGATGACTTGGTTGAATGTCAATTTAGAAGCACTTTCATATTCTCTAAGAATGAGAAGCTTGGTAGATGTTAGTTGTGATAATCCAACAGGGTTCTACAGATACAGGCCAATGAAAATCACCAAATACTCATGTACTATACTACCAATAGGACAACAATTCCTCCCAAATTAACAGTGCCATAAATGCACCAAAAGCACATTGGAGAACTTGTTAACAACATAGATTTCCCAATCAATTTGGTGTTTTATCAAGATTTTGATGAACAAGAAAATCTAAGAAACTTCTTACATGCTGGGTGTGGTGGTACACTCCTATAATTGCAGCACTGCGGAGGCAGGAGAAACATCAAATTTTGAGGCCAGCCTGGGCTGCTGTATGGTGAATTTGAGGCCATCCTGAACTACTTGAGACCCTATTTAAAAATCAAGACAAGTCAATACAGAACATTGCAAAAAACTCATTGCAAAGGAATGATTGAAAATTTCTCCCAGTAGGAAGAGAGGGTACACACAGTTATGATGAGATAAAAATGCAATGAAATCAAATTCTTGTTTTCTACTTTTTGTAACACCTATAATAGTACTTGACACATTAATATATTTATTAAGTAAATATACTTTTATAGGTTGTCACGAATGTAAGAGATATAATACAAACTGATTATGTAGTGTTAACTTTTTCTACATGTGATTGATCCCTGTAGATTTCCTCCACCAGTGAGATTCAAAACAATTTTGGAAAATATTCTTAAAGGATGTGCACATAAAGCAAGAAACTAGAAAGTATTAAAACGTACAGTACTAGCAAATGATCTTCATTATTTATGGAGACAGCATCACTTGTCTTAGAAGGTCAATCATACATTTCATGAGAACAGTGAATACACTTTTAAAGGTTCTCTTTGGCATAGTACAGAAGTTAACACTGAGCTTTTATCATTAACATCCCAAGTGGTACTTCACAACTTGGATCTATCGAAAACGACTGCAGGAAATCATATTTATAACTTCTGTCTCATATTTTAATTGCTCAAAAGGCTCTGGTTTCTCTCTACATGCTTCCTGTTCCTCCCTGGGAAGTAGCTGTTGGGATATGTGTCACATCTAACAGCTTCAGAATGACACAGTAGGGTGACTGGAGGACCCAGAGACTTGGTACTGATAGTCAGCTGTGCCTTTCTCCTCATGACATAAGTATAAAGGTCGCTTGAAGAATATAATTTCCTTACTGTATTAGTCATTTTCTTGTCACTGGGACAAAATACTCTACATCCACAGCTTAAAGGAGAGGTTTATTTTAGCTCATGGCTTCAGTCCATGATTGGCTGACCCAAGGCAGAAACAGAATGGTGGAGGGCCTGGTGGAGGGAAGCGGCTTGAACCATAGCACCCAGGAAGCAGACAGAAAAGGGAGGAGCATGAGAACCAGTGTGCCACCTCCAACCAGGCCCTGCCTCTTACCTGAGCTCTTAGCTACTGAGTTCATAGTCCACGGCTGAGTAGAGCACCCCGTGATCTAGTCACCTTCTATATATGTGAGAAGTGGAGGAACATTTTGGAACTTTACCATAAATTGACTTTGCCATTCTTGGGATGAATCTCGGGTTGTTTACAGTAAATAATTTTACTTTATTACACATCTTGCCCTTAGTTTTCACATGTATCTTGGATCCTGATCTTGTCTTTCTCCCTAGGTTCTGACTTCACACTTACCCTTTGACTCTTATAACTGACAACACCTCTTAATATTACTGATAGAGCTCTCTCTCTCTCTCTCTCTCTCTCTCTCTCTCTCTCTCTCTCTGTCTCTCTCTGTAGTAATCAGTAGCTATTCTTAAATTTGGTTGACCTCTAATACTATGTGGTCTCTATCTTGGTGCAGGTTTTTAAAACTGGCATCAATATCATGTCTGTTGGAAGTAGCTGATAAGATTCTCCCTGAAGCTACCATTTCTAAATCCAAAAGTAGAATAACATGATTCTAAGTCATAGTACACACTGATGGCTGAAGAAATTATCCTAACGCCCTGAGGTAGTCACTCAAAAGAAAAAAAAAAGAAAAAATGTTCTAAGAGATTTTAATAATTTCTGGTATATTTTTTGAAGTTTATTCTCTTGCTTGTTGATTATAGCAAGCTGATTATTTCTGACTTGCTTTCACTAAAAGCAAAATGATACATTATATATTTAGCAACTCCTTTTGCACTTAACACCACATACAGAACTAACCATAAACTACTTGACAAGTTAATTTCCCCAAAGAATCTAGGATCTTAATGATTTATACAATATTAAAGCATAGTGTCATCTATCGGAAAACTTGTTTTATTGCACTTATAGTACTTCAAAAACTAAACATATTTTATTTAAATTGGATAAATAAATCAAATCTTAGTATAAAATGCCAAATTTCAGTCCACCCTGAAACCAAATTGCCAAATATAAAGTTAGACAAGTGGGTTGAGGGGCTTCAGTGCCACAATTGGTTAGTGTGCCAGACTTACACAGAAAGGCGATTCAAATGGGATGTACAGGTATCTTCAGAATGTCTGGCATCAGAGATTTCATTAATAAATATGTAGGTCCAAATTCCCATTATGTAGTACACACAAATACTCAGAGTAGATCTAGCTACAGAAAAACAACATGAAAAGGTCTGCATTCTTATGAGACTTACATTCTAAAGGACTAAGTCAGACAATTTGAAAACAAACACAGGGTCTAGGGATATTGCTCAGTGACACAGTGCCTGCCTGGCCAACCTGAGTTCAATTCTGGGTACCAAAAATCAAACAATCAAACAAACACCCCAACATAATATATACATACATAAATAAGTACACATGGTTTATTAGCAGGCCGTATGAGCCACAGATAATAGTAAAGTATAAAGAATTTAGGAAGTGCAAGAAATGAGGGAGATGCAGTTTTGCATGGGAAGGTTAGGGCCATTAAGAAAGTGGCCTTGGGCAAACCCTTGAAGCTCATTAGACTTACATTTATACAGCTGGTTAGACTTACCTATATACAGAAGGGGAGTAGCCAGTGCAAAGACTCTTAAGACAGAAACACATCATGTGTTCAGGTGCCATCAAGAGGGCAATGAGCCTAGACCTGTAAGAGCAAATAGTTGAATACTTGGAGATGGAGGAAAACTAGCTCATAATGGGTTATGGAGGGCCTTTTTGTGTCATCGCAAGAATATTGGTTTTTATTCTGGAGGAAATGGAGAGGCAACGAGATTTTTGTATAGAATTAAAATATAATGAGTTGTTCATTGAAAGAGTCATTGCTACTTGTTGATATTTTTAAACCCTACTAAATTAATATATTGCAATTCGATCCCCAAAGTTATAGTATTTGGAGTTAGAATCTTTGTGAGGTAATTAGGAAATAAGGCTGGACCGCTCAAGATGAGATT